TTTCCGTTCGATTATATATATATTGCCATTTATCTTTCTCTTTAGGCAATCCGTCGTACATTAGATAGAAAAACTGTTGATTTATATAAGATTTTCAAATATGTACTTCAAACAATTCAATCAATTATTTCAACATCATCAATTCCTCAATCACTTGATCGTTTTCATCCTCATTATGCTGGTAGTGCATTTTGGGCTCGAAATTTAAAACGTCGTATTGAACGTATGATGTCATTTTTAAATATGGCACATTTTTTGCCTCATGTTGGTATTTCATCAGAAATTCGACAACAATATGAATATGTTAAACAAGCATTAGATGATTTTATTCAACGACAATTTAAAGAATGGTCATATCATATTGAAAATGAACCAACAAAAAAACTCGAATGTCCATTAATTAAACGTGTTAATGATGAAGGTTATTTACAAGCTAATTTTGATCCATCTTTAATAAAATTATTTCAAGAAATTAAATTTTGGGAACGTCTTGGTTTTGATATTCCACCATATGCAACAGAAATTTTAACACGAAAAAATGAATTACGTACAGCACGTGAAAATGTTATGTTAATTGTACGTGATTATAATCGTATATTAGATAAATTAGAACCCAATGAACGTATTCTATTTAAAGAACGTATTAAAAATTTAGATAAAAAACTAGCACCAGGTTTAAATAAAATAACATGGCTTAAACCAACACATGAATATACAATTGATTGTCGTATACATGCATCAGATTTACAACAACAAGTCGATAAATTTAAACAATCTTATCTTGATTGTATTAAATTATGTAAAAAAATTAGTGAAACACTTTTAGTTAAAATTGATACAAGAAAAATTTTTGAAAATCTTGAATTTGAAGAATATCAGGTAAACAATAATAAACAACTTCATCGGATTTTGAACCAAGATACTAGATATGTAGTTTTGTAGAACAATTTACGACGTATCAAATGATACATAAGACAAACGTTTCGATGATCTGAAGGTTTATATATTGATTATAATCGTTGAGAGATACATATGATACTCATAGATATTATGATCCATAAAATAGACTTATGCAAATTTTGTTTGTAAACTTAATTCCATCAAGTTATAGATGCTCCTTCATTTTCTATAATCAATAATTTTCATCGTTGCTTTCTTCAAACTCATAACAAGTCTCTTTTCTTAGATCTAGATTACTTCTTGACTACTTGATCATCCAATATGTTCAACTGTGTATCACAGAATCCATAAGCATTAATGTGAAACTTTCTGAAAAATTGCACACTATCAAGTTTCATATGTTTCATACATAATATCTTTCGGAGCAGTAGAAAATCATTGTTAACTTGCATGCTTATTTCCTAGAATAGCCTATATTTCTACATGAAGGGGCCAGTATATTGGCGATACTGAAACAATAGTCAATGGCCCTGTGAAAACTGTTAACTCATGAATAACCAGCACAACATCTCTTAAGAACAGATATAAATGACTCAATTTTTTGGCTCCCAGATCCTGGAGGTATAGATACAGAGACACTCTTTGTTGAACTAGAGATGAGGCATTTATGGATTTTTCTAGAATATCATACATAAGTCAAACTTGGATACTTGAAATAAAGATTTGGAAAAAGAAATAATAAAACATAGCAGACCTTCTTGCAACACGATGCCCGTACTCTTCTCCAGGGATCTGGAAGCCAAAAGCATTTTTTCCATTTATAAAAGAGTTATGTAGGTCAGTTCATCAGGAATACTGTGCTAATTATTAGTACGTAACAATTTGTAATAGTTAAGGGTCGTTAAAACATCATCAATATAATGATTCCTTCATATGGAAAATTGGCCATTCTAGAAAACAACCTTGCACGTTACCAATAAGTTCCTATTGTTCCAAACGATTTTATGTATGGAATGTGTAGAGTTTGATCTTGTGCAGTTTTTGAGAAAGTTTCACGTTGGTACTCATTTGTTCAGTGACACAAAATTGAACATATCGGAATATCAACTAATCAAGAAATAATCAAGAGTTAAGAAAAGAGATTAATTTTAAGTATGAAGAAAGCGATAATGAAAACTGTTAATTATAGAAAATCGAAGATCACCTATAACTGTGTGGAATTAACTTTGGAAACAAATCTTGCATAAGTTTATCTTATGGACCTTCAAAACATCAAAAATTTGATTTCTTAGATACCATTCAATGTACCGTGAATAGCTCTACAAAACTACATACTTTGTATTCTACGTCAAGGGGAGTCACCAAATGTGGCAACATTCTTGTCCTTTTTTCATTTGTTTTTAATCAAAAATTATTTTTTGTTAGAAACAACATCGCAAAATGGCAAGTGAAAAAATTCGTGAATATTTTAATGAAATTTTAAGTAGAATTCAAGAAACTCATAAAACATTTGAACATGATTCACTTGAAGTTCAACATGAATGGGATCGTATTGTTAAGGAATTAGATAAATGGCTTGAACGTGCTATTAGATATAATTTTAAAGCATCACTTGCTGAATTATCTAAAGCTATTAATGGTGATGGAAAAGCTGCACCAGGGCCTTTATTTAAAATTGAAATTATTCTCGAACCGAAAACAGTTGGTGATACAACTTTATCACGAGTAAATTTTTATTGTTTGTTTTTATCTAATTTAATTTATTTATTTAATAGATCAATTTTAAACCGGATTTAGCTACATTGAAAGCTATTATTAATAATATTGGTGAACATGAATTAGCTGATTCAATTACATTTCTTCATAGACTTAAATCAAGATCGAATGAAGAAGTAAGTTAGAACTTTTCCGATATTTACACTGAAGAAAAAAAAAATTATCTCTACTATACTTGATAGATAAACTAAAAATGCTATTCAAACCAAGTTCGATAAGTTTGAAACTTTGTCCCTAAAAAGTAAATCTATTAGTCAATTGTTTTTGAAAAAACGTCCTCTTATATTTCATCTATGAAATCTCGATATGAAATGTATTTGATCGAGAACTTCATTACCTGTTCAAAACGCTATTTCGATTTGAGTTAAATGTTTCGTATCATAAGAAACAGAAATTTTGAATATTAGTATAGAGATATTTTATTAAAAAGAATATAAATTATAGTTTCTTTAAACATGATCATATCATTTTTTTAAAATTTTTTTGATGAAATAAAAAGTAAATAGATCTAATTATTTCAAGAACTATATGAATATTTGAATTGTTTTAGTCACTTCATATGTTACTTAATAAAGATGAAGCTAAACAAAATTTACAACAACAAATAGCTGTTGGACTTGATGCAAATGAAAAACATCTTGATGATTATCAAACAACATGGAATGGTGTACGAGAATTATGGGATGTTGATAAAGAACGTTTTATTGCACGTTATGAAGAACGTTGTCCAGATGCATCATTTTTTGATGCTGATATTAATCGTTATACTGAAGTTGCTAATAATGTACAATCACGTGATACATTTGCAACAGTACAATTTGTACTTGTTGATTGTTCTCCATTGAAAAATGCTTTAGTTGTTCACTGTTTACAATGGCAAGCAAAATTAACTGGTAATGAAAAAAATAAAATTAAATAATATTAAATAATGATTTGTTTTTTTTTCTTTTCTATTTCTAGCTCTTTTATTGAAATTAGCAACAAATGGTTTAGAACAATTAACACGTTATATCGAAGAGAATAGTGTTAGGTAAGAATACGATAGTATAAAATGAATTTCTTGAGTTTTGTTTTTAATGTTTGATTTAGTGTTATGATGACACCAGAAAATCATTATGGACTCGAAGCTAAACAAAAATTATTGGAAACATTACAACAAGACTTACCAGTTTATGAAGGCAAATTTGCACCTTTACAAGAACAATTTGCTTTACTTGAAAAATATGAAAAACCTGTTCCGGCTACGGTAAGTTTTCTATATGATATAAAAAATTACGAGTTTTATTCAAGATGGAAAGATTGGAATTTGTTGGAATTCTATGAAATTGTATAGGAGTCATGGACTCTATAGTGTGAAAATCGTTAGATATACTACTAGTGCAGAAAAATGTTTTACCAGATATCAACAATGAATGCAACATTTTCAATAAAATTTTTCATAGTCTTGTCATTCACACTTCCTTGTTTTCAGATCTTAAGAGTACGAATGTCTATTAGTGCCGTAACGAAAAATAGGGTAAGCTGGGCGCCGCCCTAGCACCGGCACAAAGAAAAACATAACAATTACTGTCAATGATACTCTCTATTGCATGGATTACCCTCAAGACCGTAAGGCACTACCCTATCACTCACGATCTTCTGGTTACACCAATATTGTCTCTTTTCTGCTCACTCACATCTATACTCACTAGAACCCGTCGGATTGGCCCCGAACCTGATGGGATTCAATAGTCTATATCCGATTCTGATTAAAAAAGTTCGTTGAGCGTATTAAAGCACGAATCGATTGGGTTCTCAAAACATTCAATAAATCGGATCCAAATCCAATTAGTTCTAATTCTTACCCTTCACTCCAAAGAAAAAAAGAGATATCAATATGGAATAAATTTGTGGTGTCTCCCCCTCTCCCTTCCCCTCCACTTGTCTGTCAAGAAAAAAACAACTTTTAAAGACGATGAAAGTTATTTCAAAAGTCTTATTTTCATTTGTTTGAATGTGAAAAAATAAAATAGATTCTTATGATTATTAGACTCGTGAGATGCTAGCACAATTAGATGAACGTTGGCAACATTATCTTCAATGTTTAACTGACAGTGAAGAAATGTTGAAAAAATTACGTGAAAAATTCAAATCAAAATTATTACAACAATCTGAAGATTTTAAAAAGAGTGTTAGTGAACTTGTATCAGATTTTAAAACAAGTGGTCCATTTACATCATCAACAACACCTGAAGAAGCACTTAATCAAATTGAAGCGATGAAACAACGTTTAGCTAAATTAAAAGAAGAAGAACAAGAACTTCGTCGTGGTCTTGGAATATTTCGTATTGATCATCCATTATCAAAAGATATACAAAATCTTGAAAAAGATATTGAAGCATTAGAAGGTATATGGTCAATGGCACTTGATTGGAATCAAATGTTTGATAAATGGAAATTAACAACATTTGGAAATCTTCAAACACAAGTTATGGAAGATTATGCTCAAGCACAATATAAAAAATTACATAAATTATCAAAAGATTTTCGTGAAAAAAATTGGGAAATTATTGATTCAACTAAAAGTCGTGTTGATCAATTTCGACGTACAATGCCTTTAATGAAAGATTTACATAATAAAGATATGAGAGATCGTCATTGGAGACGTATTAAAGATGAATCACAAAAAGAATTTGATGAATCATCAGAAGATTTTACTTTAGAAGCTATTATTAATATGCATTTTGAAGAAAATGCACAATTAATTAATGAAATTAGTGAAGCAGCACAAAAAGAAGCACAAATTGAACGTGGTATTGAAAAAATTAGAGAACAATGGGAAAAAGTCGAATTTGAGATTACACCATTTAAAGATAAAGGTATGTATATATATTTGAGTAGAGATGATTCTTGGTTTATATATGGGACATTTATTAGCGCACATTATATCGAACTGTCTACTAACAGTTTGTATCCAGTTTGAATCTCATGGAATTAAATATACACTCTCAATAGCAATATTGCTGATATGATATCAGCAAGAAATCAATAGAATACTTTATATATCGATGATTGAGAACTATTTTCACAGAAAAATTATTGTATAATGTTCGAAAAAGAAAACTGGACTTCTCAGATCAAATCAGCACAGTAGCAAGCTGCCGTTTTGATTGTTGATAGGTGCAGTATTACCACTATATTTCACTGAATTTTATACGATCGGATACTCGATTCTGAAATACGCTCGTAATACTGCATCTACCGCACTTCAATGTACAGCTTGTTACAATCGAAACTGTATGAAACGGCAGTATACAGTACCGTTTTTGACTGTCTCGATGACTGCAATCATCGTTCTTGATTCGATGGACACTATATTTACTCTGGTCGAACAATACGGCGCGTATGCGACCATATAAGGCCCTTTATGACCTGTTTACGAACGGTATTTTATTGTACATTAAACTGGTGTTTTACATAGTGGCAAAGTTAGGATTTGGGGCTGAGAAGATCGAGCTCTCTCTGACTCCACCACTAGTATTATGACGAAATACAGTCCATTTTTTCACTACGTTCGACTGTAAACGTTCATAGAAATACGAATAGTTGCAACTACCATCGCGCGTAATTTTGACTTCTGTTCACCGAAAATAACCTTATTTGAGAAACAAGATTTCCATTGTTCTACGATCAGTTCTTGTTACCTAAGCAATTGTTTATCAAAATTAAATAAAAATTCTTTTTCTAGGTCATTTTAAAATCAAATCAACTGAAGAAATTAATAAAACCATTGAAGACCATCAAATATCATTATCAACATTTAAAGCATCTCGTTTTATTAAACCATTTGCTAAAGAAGTTGATAAATGGGAACGTGATATATCTCATGTTCTTGAAGTAACTGAATTATGGTTAACTGTTCAACGACAATGGTTATATCTTGAAGTAATTTTAATTCTAAAACAAAAAAAAACAAAAGATTTTCTCAAATATATAACTTTCTTTAGAACATTTTCTATGGTGAAGATATTCGTCGTCAATTAGCTAAAGAAACTGCTTTATTTGATGAAGTTAATGAAAAATGGAAAGCTGTTATGACAACATTAAATCAATCACCAAATGCATTTCATGCAACACATTTAGAAGGTGTTGATAAAGAATTACAATATATGAATTCTAATCTTGAAGAAATACAAAAATCTCTTGAGATGTATTTAGAAAATAAACGTCGACAATTTCCAAGATTTTATTTTATATCAAATGATGATTTACTTGAAATCTTAGGTCAATCAAAAAATCCACCTGGTGTTATGCCACATATGAAAAAATTATTTGATAATATTAAAACATTAACTTTAGTTAAATCAACTACTAATGGACCAATGTCGGCAACAGAAATGCGTTCAAATGAAGATGAAGTTGTTCCATTTGAGGGTCAAGTAAGTTTTCATTTTTTTTTCTTGATAATTTTTATTTAATACAGAAAAAAAAACAACAACAAAATATTCGTTTTAGGTTTTACTTGATGGACAAGTTGAAAAATGGTTACGTGATGTTGAAAATAAAATGAAAGAAGTTGTTAAACGTAAAGTTTTTGCATGTCGTCTTGATTTATCAAATTGTGGTACAAAACGTGAAAAATGGTTAAAATCTCATCCAGGTCAAGCATGTATAACAGCAAGTCAAATACAATGGACAGAAGAAGTACAAAAATCTTTACGTGATAATGTATTAAAATTAAGAACAGATAGAAAAAAACAACATCTTGTTTTAAGAAATTTTACTGATATGATTAAAAAAAATTTAACAAAACTTGAACGTATTAAACTTGTTTCATTAGTTACAATTGAAATTCATGCAAGAGATGTTATTAATGATTTAATTAAAAATCAAATTAAAACTGAATCATCATTTGAATGGCAACAACAATTAAGATTTTATTGGAGAAAAGATGATATTATTATTGAACAAGCTATTGGAAGATTTTGGTATGGTTGTGAATATTTAGGAAATTCTGGAAGATTAGTTATTACACCATTAACTGATAGGTAAAGACTAATTCTAATATATATATATTTTAAAATTATTTGCTTCTTTTTAGATGTTATATGACTTTAACTATTGCTTTATCATTATGTCGAGGCGGATCACCAAAAGGACCTGCTGGTAAGATTGAATTTTATTGAACTATACAATAATATAAAACGTATTCTCTTAGGTACTGGTAAAACTGAAACAGTTAAAGATTTGGGCAAAGCTATGGCATTCTATGTTATTGTTACGAATTGTTCAGATGCCATTGATTATAAATCAATGGGTCGTATGTTTTGTGGTTATTGTCAAACAGGTGCTTGGGGTTGTTTTGATGAATTTAATCGGTAATTGAAATTATTTTCTTTTTTGTTGTTTCGATTTTATTTGTATCATAATTTAATTTAGAATTAATATTGAAGTACTTTCTGTTGTTGCTCAACAAATAACATCAATATTAAATGCAATGACAACACTTAAAAGTGAAATTGAAAATGCTATACGTGCTAAAACAAATATGTCCGAAGAAGATGCATTTGCAACAATTGATAAACGTTATTTAAGTAAAAAATTCACCTTTCAAGGACAAGATATTGATCTTGTTTGGTCATGTGGATTATTTATTACTATGAATCCAGGTTTATTAAATGAATTTCTTTGTTATGTTTAATTAATTTCTATTATTGTTTAGGTTATGCTGGTCGTACTGAATTACCAGACAACTTGAAATCAATGTTTCGTCCAATATCTATGGTTGTTCCAGATAGTAATTATATTGCTGAAATTATTCTTTTTGGTGAAGGTTTCTCAGATACACGTTTACTTGCAACAAAAGTTTATACACTTTATCAATTATGTGCACAACAATTATCAAAACAAGGTGTGAAAAAAAAACATACTTTTATTCATTAGAAAGGGTTCTGCCGGATTAAGAAATCAAATATACAATGCTATAGAGAAAGTCGAGGTGCGATAGATAGGATATAGTATATCTTATCTTTATAAGACTTTGAAAGAACTAAAGTCAATTTACTAATAGTTGACTATGTATCCAAAGCGCGATCATTGTGGTTCTTGGCAGCAATCCGAAGTGTTTGTAGAACTTTTTGCGAATTACAACGATCATGCTATCGTTGATAGGAAAAAAATGCGAGTTTTCAGTACTTTACTAGCGTTTTTCACTAATGGTGCGTTTTTTATGGTCAATACTACTGAACACACAGTGACTTACCATGAGTGAAAAATGACGGTGAACTATTGAAAAGCCACATTTTTTCTCCTATCAAAGATAGTAAAATATTTTAGATTGATATCAAGAACCACAATGATCATGCTTTGGATGTATAATCGTCTATCAGGAAATTGGTTCTAGTTCTTTTAGAGTAGTATGACAATAAGATTTACAATATACTATTTAATGCACTTTGACTTACGAGGGAGCATTCTCAATTGTCACATCGCTTTTAAGTCGAGCACATGTGCATTATGTAGATCCTAACGATCTATGAATTCTCTGAAAAAAATTCGTGCCGCTAGCTTATTATTGCTGATATACTGCCTTTTTACTGTATGTTTAAGAAAAGAGATCTGTGGTCCCCCTCAGGAACACTTGGAAAACTGAATTTTGAATTTCAATTTCAAACTTTGCATAGATATAGGGCTCAATGAGAATACTTTATTGTGAAAGTTTCAGCTTTTTTCGTCGCACCTATCCTAAGATACAATTATCATAAAATTGCTCATATACCCCAGCGGATCCGATGTTCTCATCTCAGACTAGGAGCAACCAAAATATCTGAAACATTCATAATAAACTGTTCTCATTGAGGTCTATACACATGCAAAGTTTCAGGCTGAAACTCAAAACTCACTTTTCCTGATGTTCCTGAGGGGGACCACGACTTTTCCGAAACATATAGTAAAAATGCTATATCTCAGCAGTACGAAGCTAGCGGCACGAACTTTTTTGGGAGGATTCAGAGATCATTAGGACCTACATAATCCTCATACAATCGATTCAAAAGCGGTGTGACACTTCGGAATGTTCCCTCGTTAGTCTACAACATAGTACACTTGATTTCTTAATTCAAAATAGATCACTTAATTTGATAGAGTCCTTAAGTTGTTACCCTATTTAGACTTTTACGACTTTGGTCTTCGTTCAATGGCTGCTGTTCTGCGTTATGCTGGTCGTAAAAAACGTGATTCACCACATTTAAAAGATGATCAAGTTGTTATATTAGCTATGAAAGATATGAATGTAGCTAAAATGACTGAACCAGATTTACCATTATTTAATGGCATTGTATCAGATTTATTTCCTGATATTGATACACCAACAATTGATTATTCCAAATTTAAAGCTGCTATTGAAACTGAACTTGCCGCACAATATTTACAAAGTACAGTTCATACAGTCACAAAAGTTATACAATTATTTGAAACAAAAAATTCTCGACATTCTGTTGTACTTGTTGGTTGTACACAATCAGGTAAAACAGCTATATGGCAAACATTAAAACGTTCAATGACAAGAATAGCAACACAAGATTCATCAGATTCATTATTTCAACGTGTACAAGAATATCCAATTAATGCTAAATCAATATCAATTAATGAACTTTATGGAGCATCAGATTTAGCAACTGGTGAATGGAATGATGGTATACTTTCAAATATAATGCGAACGGCTTGTGCAGGTAAAATTAATAATAAATAATTTAATTTGTGATCAATTTTATGTTTTAGATGATAAATCTGATCAAAAATGGATTTTATTTGATTGTCCTGTAAGATTATTATTATTTTTTTTATGAGTTAAAATTTTCATGTTTTGTAATAGATTGATGCTGTTTGGATTGAATCAATGAATTCCGTTATGGATGACAATAAAATTTTGACATTAACTAATGGTGAACGTATTGCTATGCCAGAACAAGTTACACTTCTTTTTGAAACTGGAGATATGGCTGTTGCATCACCTGCTACAGTTTCACGTAAGTACAAATCATAGAAATAATTGAATATATCAACATTTAAACGAGTCATACTCTAAAAGTTACAACCAATAATCACTCGATTACGATACAATCATCGTTAGATGGAAAAATAACTCCTATACAACAAAAAAAAATTACATCATAGGCATAGCTGCTTCATCCTTATCAGATGTATTTTATCCATCATCGGCAGTTATTTCGTTTATTAATTTACAAAAAGCAAGATTTTCAAACTGTATAGAAAGTTACATTCATCCTATAAATAAACAAAAACTTGAAATACTTGAGTTTCGTGAAAAGTTCTTTTCGGTCTCTATTAAAAATAGTTTTCAACTTCACTATTTTCTTCGATCTTTTGACGACCAATCAATAACCCAGTCCAACAGTTTCGAACCTGGCGTGTTCTATCCTGAACTCGAGATGCTATAAAATGGTTCATAAGGGAACGTGACCAGGTATTAAATTGTTTTTTATATTCAGACAATATTAATTTAATTAATAACAAAAGACCATATCTTTTTTTTTAAATCAGTGAAATTTTGATAGAGCGTAAGCGAAGCAAATCAAAGCATTCTAGATGATTCTATTATTCATGAAATAAGCATAGTCTTGGCCGAACAGTGATATGACTTCTGGAAGAGCTCATCTCGAATATTTTCCTTGTTGCATGTTCATAATGAGCTATAGAAAATGTGCTTCACTTTCTTAATTTATTAGCACAATCCGAGACCAATAAGTTAAGTTGTTCATTCTTCTTTTCAACCTTTCTTTTTTTATAGGTTGTGGTATTGTCTTTTGTGATTATGATAATCTTTCTTGGCGTCCATTTATAACTAGTTGGATAAATCGAAAACCAAAAGAATATCATGAACCATTAACATATTTAACAAATAAATATTTAAAACCTATCATACAATTTAAACAACAAAATTGCAAAGAATTAATTCCAATAGCTGAATTAAATGGTGTACGTTCATTTTCTTATTTATTTGATTCATTAGCAACAAAAGAAAATGGTGTTGATCCAGCTGATGAAGATAATTTTTCACGTTTAACTGAATTATGGTTTTTATTTTCAACAATATGGTCTGTTTGTGCATCAGTTGATGAAGATAGTCGTAAAAAAATAGATGCATTTGTTCGTGAATTAGAAGGTACAATACCAAATAAAGATAGTGTTTATGAATATTATGTTGATCCTAAACAACGTGCATGGTTATCATGGGAAGATAAATTACGTTCAGGTTGGAAATTAAATTCTGATATACCATTCTATAAAATAATTGTACCAACTGTTGATACAATACGTTATAAATATCTTGTATCAGCACTTATTAAACAAGGACATCCATGTTTATTATGTGGTCCTGTTGGTACAGGTAAAACATCAGTTGCACATGCTGTTATGTCAGAATTAGATGCAAGAGAATATTCAACATTAATTATAAATATGAGTGCACAAACATCATCAAATATTGTACAAGAAATTATTGAAGCACGTGTTGAAAAACGTGTTAAAGGTGTTTATGTACCAATTGGTGGAAAGAAATTATTAAATTTTATGGATGATTTTAATATGCCAGCTAAAGATGAATATGGTTCACAACCACCATTAGAATTATTAAGATTATGGCTTGATTTTGGATTTTGGTATGATAGAAAAAATCAAACGGTTAAATATATTAAAGTATATATTGAAGAAATAGTTTTCTTTTCATTTTAAATTTCTATATAATTATTTAGGATATGTTATTATTAACTGGTATGGGTCCACCTGGTGGTGGTCGAACAGTTATTAGTCCACGATTACAAAGTAGATTTAATTTAATTAATATGACGTTTCCATCAGTAGGTGTTGATAAGAAGATTTGATTGAAAACTAATTGTTTTGTTCTTTTTTTTTTTATTTAAGGCTACAGAAATTCGTCGAATATTTGGTTCGATGATTTCTCAACGTTTAGCAGATTTTGATGATGAATTTAAAACATTACCAGATGCATTAACATCAGCAACAATTGAAATGTATGAAACAATTGTACAAAAATTTTTACCAACACCAACAAAAATTTATTATTTATTTAATTTACGAGATATTTCAAAGATTTTCCAAGGTTTATTACGTGCTGATAGAAAATTAATTACATCAAAACAGACAATGATTCGTTTATGGATTCATGAATGTTTTCGGTAATAATTTTATTTTCAAGAAGTTATTTTGTATTGATTTATTTTCTTTAATTTTAGAGTTTTTGCTGATCGACTTAATGATGATAAAGATCGTGAGCAATTTAGTGCGATTTTAAGTGAAAAATTAGGTACTCATATGGATGTAACATTTCATTCAATATGTCAAAATCGAATTCCACCAGCATTCGGTGATTTTGTTAATCAAGATGAAATTTATGAAGATTTATTGGATTTTGATAAATTAAAAATTCATATGGAAAAAGTTCTTAAAGATTATAATGAAACACCAGGTACAGTTCCAATGGATTTAGTTCTATTTCGTGATGCTATATTACATTTAACACGTATTGTACGTGTTATTCGACAACCACGAGGTAATATGCTTTTAATTGGTATTGGTGGATCTGGAAGACAATCATTAGCTAAATTATCATCATTTATATGTAATTATGCTGTATTTAAAATTGAAATTGCAAAAAATTATCGTCGAAATGAATTTCGTGAAGATTTAAAACGTTTATATAAACAAGCAAGTGTATCAAATCGTGAAACAACATTTATATTTGTTGATACACAAGCTGTTGAAGAAACATTTTTTGAAGATATTAATAATATTTTAAGTTCAGGTGAAGTACCAAATCTATTTCGTACAGATGAACTTGAAGAAATTAAAACATCAATGGCAGCAGAATTAAAAAAAGAAGGAATTGATGAAGATAATAATCAAGAAGTTTATGCATTTTTACTTGATCGTGTTAAAGCAAATTTACATATGGTTGTTTGTATGAGTCCTGTTGGAGAAGTTTTTCGGTAGGATTTTGCTTCTTTTTTTGAAATCCAAATTTGACTATATTCGAAGAATCGAAATCAAATATTGTTTTTTTTCTATCAAGAAGATTACACAAAAGAAGTGAGAATTCGCCTAAGGAGCCTTTGACACTGAGTTATGGTTGGTTCATTAGACTTTGAGCTCGTTTATAGATGATTTCGAAAAAATAAAATCACCGACTTTCGATCTAAAAGTTTGCCTATAGATAGGTCTAATGACTCTTAGAAAAATCAGGAAGCCTCAGTCGAAAAGAATAATGTTTCTTCGTCAAGATCTTGAAATTCTAAAAATAGCTGTCTGTCATACAAATTAAATATCATTTGAAAATTCAATAAGTCAATGAACGAACATTCTTTTCAGCTGAAAATGCCCAAATATTCTAGGAATCAATATTTGTACGTACAGGCAAAATTTTAGATCGAAACTTCGTTATTTGATTTTTGGAATCTACCTACGAATGAGTCGAAAATCCAATAAACTATCATCCATTTCAAAATATAATGTGCTTCACTATTTTTTGAATAAATTTTAATAGAAACATCATGAAGACTCGTGATTTTCACTATTCAAGGGAAAAAACCTCCGAACCATCGAAGTATATAAAAAATTGATTGATCATCAATTGGCTAATCAGATGAGTTCTTTGAAGAGATTTTCAAAAATGATATTCTGAAGTTATTCTCCTTCTGATCTACACAAGGCCAACATTCCTAGTTTACTTCGATCGAGAATTTTAAGGCTTTTCCTGAGACTCTCAATTTTATCTAGCTGACATTTAGTCGCTTGAAAAAGTAGTTATGCAGGGATAATTCACAATGTTGAGTGAAGTGGTGATATTTTTTTTAGGTTCGAAATGATTTGACACTATTATTGCTTACCAAGAACTTACCTATGGGTTAACTGCTGATCAATCAGTTTCCGATATACTTCGATCCTTCTCTCTAGAATATTGAAAACTTCAGGTCTCTCTTATGTTCCTATCAAAATTTATTCGAAAAATAGGGGAGCATATTATACTTTGAAATGGGTAGTAGTTATAACTCGGCATGAAAGGCACATGCGGACGAATTCTACTAGACTTTTGCTCGCCACACTAACACTTGCTAATGAATCTAATATGACCTCAAATGACAGATATCAGTTAGAATAGTCCCTTCGTTAACTGTGAATTCCAATAGTGATTATCAATTCTTGTCAAGAATGGAAATAATATACCTGATAAATCCTTTTTTGTTTAACAATTCTGTTTATTTTATTTGATAGAAATCGTATTCGTATGTATCCATCATTAGTTAATTGTACAACAATCGATTTATTTGCTGATTGGCCACAAGATGCTTTACTTGAAGTTGGTGAACGTTACCTCTCTCAAATTGAATTAGCTGGTGATGAAAAGGTAAATAATTTTCAAATTAAAAAGATTTATTTTGTCTAATCTACCTAAATAAAAATTTCCAGTTTGCAACGGTAAGACAATGGATACTGTTGTTTTTCTTTTCACGTATCACTTTATCATGTTTTTTCTTTTTGATATTTTTTCTTTTGTCCATTTGCATGAAGTCATTTTCATTTTTGTGTGAATTTGTTTTATTGATGAAGAGAAAACAAAAAACATTTGTGTTTAATGAAATTTTTCTTTTTCTCATATGAATAGTTTCGTCCATCCATTGCTCAAATATTTGCTACAGTACATAATTCTGTTTATCAATGTTCAATACAAATGTGGAATGAAATGCGTCGACGAAATTATGTAACACCAAGTAATTTTCTAGAATTAACAACTGGTTATAGAAAGTAAGATAAAATATTTTTTAAATTTATGTTTATTTCTATTTTTTTTTAAATAAAATGTTCTTTGATTTTATTAGACTTTTGTATGAAAAACGTAAAGAATTATGTGATGCACGTGATAAATTAACAAATGGTTTAGGCAAAATCGAAGAAGCCAAAGTTCAAGTAACAGAAATGTCAGTTGAACTTGAAAAGAAACGTGCTTTAGCTAATGAAGCACAAAAGAAATGTGAAGAATCATTAGGTGGTCTTGTTAATGAACAGCGTGAAGTTGAACAGAGTAAAGCAACAGTTGAAAAATTAAAAGAACGTGTTAAAATTGATGAAGAAAAAGCATCAACTATTGCTCAAGCTGCTCAAGAAGATTTAGCAGCTGCTATGCCAGCACTTGAAGCAGCTAATACAGCTTTACAATCCTTAACTAAAAGTTCAATTACAGAAGTTAAAAGTTATGGACGACCACCAGTACCTGTTGAAAAAGCACTAGAAGCTGTTATGATTCTTAGAAGTTCGGAACCAACATGGGCAGAAGCTAAACGACAATTGGGTATGTGAAAATTTTGTTTTGATTTACGGTGCGAAAGTCTGAGCACAAAATATTCAATCTGTCTTCGACCACTTTAAAAACAACTAGTTAGAGTCAGTTAGTAACAGAATTTCACTTTGAGTTGATATCGAACAACTATCAGTAAATTTTATGAACAAGTCCCAAACTATGTAACGACTTTGATGTATTTCTTAGTCTATGTCTTTGAATAGCAGCTTCAACTTAACACCAGTTTAGAGCATTGCATCAGATATTAAAATAAGCTACATCTTATCTATGCATTTCTATTAATAAATTAGTTTCTATGGAAATTGACATTGGTCAGAACATCATTTCTTAAAAAAATACGTTTAAAAATACAAAAGTTTTAAAAATTGTCATGCAAAATTAAATATCATACTTAATAGAGTAAATTCAGCCGTTAAAAACCGTTTTACCTAAAGAAGTTCCCTCATTATCCCAGAAGAAATTTCTGAACATATAATTGGAAAGAATGAAAAAATTTGCTGCTAGCTTTAAGTATTGATTTTGAAGTGGCTGAAAAATGAGTGAATATTTTGTGTCAAGACTTTCGTTCTATCAATTAGTATGTAGAAAGTTTTTTTTAAAATTCTACATCGATGTTTCCTGAGAAAAATATTAGAATTTTTCAATTTAATTAATTTATATTAAATTCAATCTGAAAATTTTCCTTTTTTAAGGTGATACAACATTTATTAATCAATTAATTGATTTCGATAAAGATAATATTCCAGACAAAATAATTATGAAAATAGGAAAATATACATCTGATCCATTATTATCACCACAAGAACTTTGTAAGTTATAATCATTAATTATGATAATAATTAGCATTAATTCATTGTTTTCTTATTTTGTACAATAAAATAGTGCGAGTATCAGTTGCTGCTGCTGGTCTATTTGCATGGGTACGAGCTATGGAAGATTATTCAAAAATATTCAAAACAGTCAAACCAAAACGAGATCGTTATGAAGCAGCTATGGCTGAATTAAATGAAAAACGAGCACAAATAGCAGATGCTGAAAGACAAATTCAAGAAGCACAAAAACGTCTTGATGAATTACGGGCTAATTATGAAAAACAAATGGCCGAAAAAGAACAATTACGTCGTGATTGTGAACATATGCAAATGATGCTTGAAAAAGCTTCTCGTCTTATTAATGGTTTAGCAAGTGAAAAAGTTCGTTGGGAAGCAACTGTAGCTGATCTTGAACAACAAATAAGTTATGTTACTGGTGATTGTTTATTAGCTGCTGCTTTTCTTTCATATATGGGTCCATTTCTTTCACAATATCGTGATCATATGATGAATGAAATTTGGTTTAAAGAAATCAAAAAATTATCTATACCATGTAATCCATCATTTAATTTTGCAAATTTTCTATCTATACCAACACAAGTACGAGATTGGAATATTCAAGGTTTACCATCAGATACATTTTCAACTGAAAATGGTGTTATTGTTACACGTGGGACACGTTGGCCATTGTAAGTTTTCTTTTTTCGTGCAAACTAAACAGAAAAAAGAAATTTCTTAATATCCTTCAAGATGACATTACTTTTAAGAAAACAAAGAAAATTTTCGACATCCTGATAGGATATATTCATTCATATCAATGTCTAAAAGTATGTTAGAGTACAATAAGCTTGAAAATCTATGTATGTCTTCTGTTCAGCCTCACCAATATCCTCATAATACGGACAGCATTGTAATAGATTGACGATCTGTGTTCTATCGTAGATTATAGCAGTATCATAAGCGATATTTACGAAATTAATTAGGAGTGTATTGGAAACCGGATGCGTACATACGTGTATCGCGATCAAGGAGTTAATTAATTGATTCGTTTAGTGATCTTATCCCCAGGAGAACATATACCATTGTTAGACATCTTTGAACTCGATACTTTAACTTGTGTTAAAAACTTTAGTGTCGAAATCATGAGCACATATATTGACATCTGTTTTATGACTAATTATATGTAATGGTTTTTGAGTGTTTCTTAATCTTTTACTTGTTAAAAATTTTCTTCTGAAAATTGTAAATGAAATTTTTCTTTCATTAGAATGATTGATCCACAAGCTCAAGCCATAAAATGGATAAAAAATATGGAAATGTCAAATAATCTACGTATTATTGATCTTCAAACACCAGATTATTTACGTATTATTGAAGAGTGTATTCGTTCTGGTCGTCCATGTCTCTGTCAAAATGTTAAAGAAGAACTTGATCCATCTTTAGATCCTGTTTTAACACGTGCTGTTAAACGTATTGGTGGTGTTGATATTTTAAAATTAGGTGATCGTGAAGTTGAATATAATAAAGATTTTCGATTTTATATGACAACTAAATTACCTAATCCACATTATGCTCCTGAAATATCTTCAAAAGCTAATATAATTAATTTTGCTGTAAAAGAACAAGGTTTAGAATCTCAATTACTTGGTATTGTTGTACGAGAAGAAAAACCTGAATTAGAAGCTGATAAAGATAAATTAGTACGTGGTATTGCTGCTGGTCGAAAGAAACTTATTGAACTTGAAGATCAATTATTAAGATTATTAAATGAAACAAAAGGTTCATTACTTGAAAATGATGAATTATTATCAACACTTGAAATATCAAAACAAACAGCTAAAACTGTACAAGAACAATTAGTAACATCTGAAGCAACAGAAAAAGATATTGATGCTGCTCGAGAAGTAAAAAAAAACATCATATAAATAAATAAATAAATAAGAATAACCATGATATATTTTTGTTTAGAATTATCGACCATGTGCTGAACGTGCATCAATATTATTTTTTGTTCTCAATGATTTAGGAAAAATTGATCCAATGTATCAATTTTCTTTAGATGCTTATATTGATTTATTTAATACATCCATTAAAAAAAGTCAAAAATCTGCTAAACTTGAAGAACGTTTAAATAAATTAAATGATTTTCATACATATGCTGTTTACAAGTAATATTAAAAAGACAAAAGAAAAAATATTCTTGAACAAAAAAATATAATTTTCTTTTCTCTTAAGATATACTTGTCGTGGTTTATTTGAAGCACATAAATTACTTTTTTCATTTCAAATGTGTGTTAAAATTCTTGAAGCTGCTGGTAAAATAAATATGGATGAATATCAATTTTTCTTACGTGGTGGTATTGTAAGTAACAAATAGAAGAATATTTTAATTAGACTATTATCCATTTTACAATATAGTGTCCTACACTGTCTTTTTTTTTTGAATAAATTTTGATAGAAAAATCCTAAAGACCTGCGGTTCTCATTCTATTTAGTTTGAAATTGATAGTTGATTATTATTTTCTAGGTTCTTGATCGTGAATCACAAATGGATAATCCAAATCCTCAATGGTTAGCTGATTCATCTTGGGATAATATAACAGAATTAGCTAAATTAGCAAATTTTCATGGTATTATTGAATCATTTGAACAATATCCAAGAGATTGGTTTCAATGGTTTCAATCGGGTGAACCTGAAAATACACCAATGCCAGGCGAATGGGATTCAGTAAATGAATTACAAAAAATGTTAATTGTTAGAAGCTTACGTTCAGATCGTGTACCATTTTGTGTAACAAAATTTATCATTAATAATTTAGGCTCGAAATTTGTTGAACCACCTATTCTTGATTTAAGTTCTGTTTATGAAGATTCATTACCTAAAACACCAATTATATTTGTTTTATCACCTGGTGTTGATCCATCAGCTAATTTATCTGCTTTAGCAGAAAAAATGGATTTTAGAAAAAATTTTCTTCCATTATCACTTGGTCAAGGACAAGCACCAATAGCTACACAGAATATTGCTGAAGGTATTCGTTTGGTAAGTCACTCTAATAAACAAAAAAAGAATCAAAGTGTGAGATACGATGAGAAAGAATTTTCAGAAGAGGAATTTATCGAAAGAGTATAGATGTGTATATGAACGTGTGAATGGATGTGCATATACATATAGATCACAGAAGTAGATAAACATAAGAATATTTTTTTTTATAATAAAACTATACAAAATTTATTTAAATAAATTTTAATTTTTTTTAAGGGTCGATGGGTATTTCTTGCAAATTGTCATTTATCATTATCATGGATGCCTGATTTAGAAAAAATTGTTGAAAATCTTTCAATTGAAAAAGTTCATCCACAATTTCGTTTATGGTTATCATCATCACCATCACCACAATTTCCTATATCAATACTTCAATCTGGTATTAAAATTACTACGGAACCACCAAAAGGTATTAAAGCAAATATGAAACGTTTATATGCAATAATTGATGAACAAGATTTTGCTGAGAAAAGTCGTCAAGCTCGTCCAGAAAAATATAAACGTTTATTATTTTGTCTTTGTTTTTTTCATTCATTATTATTGGAACGTAAAAAATTTCTTCAACTTGGTTTTAATATTAATTATTCATTTAATGATTCAGATTTTGAAACATCAAATTTAATTATGGGTAATCTATTACGTGATCAAGACATGACACCATGGAAAGCAATGAAATTTATTATATCAAAAATCAATTATGGTGGTCATGTTACAGATACACGTGATATGCGTGTATTAAATACATATATTGAAGATTTATTTAAAGAAGAAGTTATTGATCCTCAAGTACAATATTTTAAATTAACAAAATTACCTAATTATTATGTACCACGTGATGGAACATTAAATGAATATAAAAATGCTGTTGCAACTGTATTACCAAATTCAGATCATCCAGAAGCTTTTGGTCAACATACAAATGCTGAAGTTGCATCACAAATTCGTGAAGCACGAATGTTATTTGAAACATTATTATCTTTACAACCACAAGTTGTTGCTGTACAAGGTAAAAAAACAACTGAAGAAGAAGTTATGGAAATGTCAACACGTGTACTAGAACAATTACCTGAAAAAATAGATTATAATTCAACAGTTAAAATTTTATCTGAAGATCATTCACCATTAAAAGTTGTTTTATTACAAGAAATTGAACGTTATAATTTATTACTAGATATTATACGACAATCATTAATATCATTACAAAAAGGTATTAAAGGTCTTGTTGTTATGTCATCAGATTTAGAAGAAATTTTTCGATGTATTCTTGATGCACGTGTACCAACACAATGGCAAAAAATGTATCCATCATTAAAACCATTAGCAGCATGGACACGTGATCTTGTTCAACGTGTTGATCAATTAGCTAAATGGGCTGAAAGTGCTCATGCACCAGCTGTATTTTGGATGTCTGGTTTTAGTTTTCCAACTGGTTTTCTAACAGCTGTGATGCAAACAACAGCACGAGCCACAAAAATTAGTATTGATCGTTTAATATGGGATTTTGAAGTGATGAAAGTTGAAGATAATTATTTACAAACACCTAAAGATGGTGTTTATGTCAAAGGATTATTTTTAGAAGGCGCAGGATGGGATAAGAAAAATGCATGTTTAATTGAAGCTGAACCTATGCAATTAGAAGTATCGATGCCAACTATTTTATTTCGACCTGTAGAAAATAAGAAAAAATCTATAGCAACTGAAGAAGATCGAGAAAAAAAAACAGGTATGAAGATTGATGAATTTTGAAGAACGTTCATAATATATAATAATTCATTTTAGATGTATATTCATGTCCGGTTTATTATTTTCCAAATCGTGCTGGTGGCTTTGGTCATCCATCATTTGTTGTTGAAGTTAATCTGAAAACGCCACATTTTCTAAATAGCCATTGGGTAAAACGTGGCACTGCATTACTGATGAATTTAGATAGATAAACTACATTACTGATAAGAGAGTAATTGATATGTAAAGTTGTTTTTTTTTTGCTTTTATTGTTTTTATACTTTCACATATATCTTTTATTCTACTATATAAATACACATTTGATAATATATTTACAAAGTATTTGATGATTACAATGAAATTTTTTTATCATTTTCGGCATATATTAACTGACTACCAAATCAATAGCAAATCTACTATGTGATAAATTGTTATTGGAAACTGTTCTTTAAGTATATAAGGAATGGCATATTGTTGATTTGAATAATGCGAAATTATGGGTTTCTATTGCCTATTAACAACGAATGAGCTTAAAAATCAGTACTATCAGTTGTCCTTTATTATTAATTCGCGTCATGATAGCTGATCGAAAGCCGTTGATTGACAACAGTTAACTTTTCGATTAATCATCGTTTTTTGTGCTTAAATTCTGTTGACATCTTTATGCAGGAATTTTTTCACTATTTAAAAAATGTCAGATCTTAGTCGAAATTATACGTCGCACTAATTGTGAACAAGCACCAACCTCTTGAAGTATTATGATGCTTTTTCATTATGATGGTTATCTTGTATAATTTATTTTATGTTTGTTATATTATTATTGTCAAATAGTTCATATACATTACCTTAAGTAAAAAAAATGGAACTGCATCCAATTCATCATATTATAGTTAAAAGTCGCTTACATTGTTGTGCTGAAAGTTTCTGCGTATTTCAATTTTTATACTCGATAAAACTATTAGAGATTTTTATTTCTTGTATTGCTAGGAAACGTATAAAAAGAATAGAAGTGAACAGGAGATAGAGTTGTTATTGAGTAGGTTTGCCGGTAATAACATTGCATATTGATAGATATCGACATCTATTGGTAGTCAATCGCAGAAACTTGACTCATATATAATTATTAATGAATGTCATGCACAAAAACGTGATATCATAGAACTTGTCAGGAATTCTATTGTTTAACACAAATCAGATGAACATTGAGCACCAATAGAGAGAGTATTGGTAAATAGAAAGAGTGTTGCGCAAATACACTTTTCTCGTGACTGCTTACTGCAAATCTCTTGACTATTACTGTAAAAAAAAAACACTCTTTTCAAGAGAGCGTTTATTTAACTGATTTTTATGAATAAGCAGTATTGGAGATACCTATAAAGCAGCAGAACATATTCGAGAAACAACAAATAAATCAAAATAACTGCGCATTGATCAAACATTGAAAACGTTGATTCTCAATTTGAATTTCGATCACCTGAATTTGCTTCTTGTTTGATCGACTTTACTGCTATCTAAAAAAAGGAAGTATTAGTGATGATTTCGGAGTCTTCAATAAAAGAACCAGTACCAAACTTTCTTTATTTCAATTCTAATGAACAATACCCACACCCGTTGAGTAATTCTGTTCATAACCCAAATGGAAAGTTTCACCATTACTTAGCATGGTCTATCGTCAATATCTTTTTCAGTTGAATGATACCTGGCATCATAGCCTTATTATAGTCCATACATGCTCGTGCTTATCTTCGGCAAAGCGATTTTGTTCGCGTAAAAAAGTATAGTACCAGGGCGCTTATAACCAATATCATGGCCACTTTTATCGGTCTCGTAGGCTGGGCTCTGATCATTTACTATATTATTTATTAGACAAAATACTGTCACACAATTAGTGAGACTCATTATGAATGATGACACATCAAAAACTCTTCAACCTAAAATTCTGACATTTTCATTTGAACTTATTCTCATTGAAATTGAATATGTTGGAAAATAGATGGAGTTTGATTTAGAGACATAATACATTCCTATTTTTTTATTGTATTTTGTGAACTGACTTCAAAGAATTTATGATTTCGATTTGGATGTTTGCTGTGGCGATCTGCAAAGGTTTTTACGCTTGTTCTTTACTATTTTTATAAGATATCCAATTTTAACAAAAGATGAAGAATAAATGAAAGAAAAGCGCACTGGACTGAATCATGTCTTGTATAGTTCTTAATGACGAAGAGCTGCTTTCAGATCCATGCATAGCATCTCTCTTCAGGTGATTATTGCCGAAGCACACGCACACACGGCATGTCTCTCGATAATAGTGTGACGCTATTACACTTAACATAGGTAGTTGTTTTTTGAATGTACTAATAGACGTGCTTAGTTTTGTCATTGAATCATCATGAACAACTTATACTGTATAGACTAATTTTTCTCATTTCTAAGTCAAGATTAAAGATTTCCTATTTCTTATCCTATCTCTTTTGTCTTCTATTTTTTTCTTCTCTTCACTACTACATCTTCATGACATATTTGTATTCTTTGATTATAGAATGTTTTTCAAATATGCATTGATAGAATCAAAGAATACAAAAACTAATGGTTCGAAGGGATATAACAATGTTGACGCCAATCATGTCATAGTCAAATAAAAGAAACAATATTCATCATTTCTAAAAAACATAAAATACGATTGAGATAATGAATATTTATCAAAAACCTCTTTGTCTTATATGTTATTAAACGTTAATAATATGAATAAAAGAAGAAGTGATTCCTTTTTTCAATCGTAACAGTTATATTATTGACTTTGCTGCATTGTTTTAAGAAGATATTACCAACGAAGAATAGAAGACATAAAAGAAAGTATAACATAATGAGGAAGAATGATAAATAACAAGATAATTGGATGTTATTTGAAATTTCCATTCTAAGTAGAATGTTTTTCTTTTTTGTTTTCATAGACGATGATCAAATTAGAAAATATGTATTATTTTACATAAAAACCAACAACAATACATTCGTTATATATTGTTTGAATATTTGTTTTAATTAAAACTTGATATAGGTATTAATTCGATGAAAGAAAAATTATTGTTTTCATAATTATTTTTCAAATGTTAACTGTGAATTAAAAAAACAGTCAAACTCATATCAAATTAAATAATAAACCTATATATATACTGGTTTTTTTTCTAATTTTAATATGAGATGAATTCAAAATCAACAATATTATTTAGATATTTTTTCGAAATACATAAGCAATTATTCTCCTATTGACTTACACTAAATTTTTTTTTCATAGCTGTATTATGACATAGACGAATATGTATCGATCCATTTCACTGTTAACCAAGTAACCAGAGGATACTCATATGTGCTCGTTATACGAGCTAATTGAGCAATATTACTAAGTCCATCAATATCTTGTCTTAAAGCAGCATCAAATAAAAGTTTAAAACGATTTTTATTTCGTGTTTGACTTGAATGAGAACCAGCATAATAATAACCAGTTGTCGGTCGTTGAACACAAATATCTTTTGATAAAAATCTTAAACCCATATCATCATCTTCTCCACCCCAATTAAAATATTTATTTGAATAACCATTTAATAAAATAAAAGTTTCTGGTCGAATTGTTAATACACCACCAACAAGAAAAGGATAGATCGTTGTATATGAACCATCTATTTGAAAACGTACATTAGCTGACATATGAAGAGGATGATCAGTTAATGTTAAACATGAATATAAATTTTGATCGTTTTCTGGAATGAGATCGACATCTAAACCGAAAAAAAAAGAAAATGAAACGAAATAAAGTTTAAAACTACTATAATGTATTCTACTATCTCTTGAGAAACTTTTGAGAGAAACATCATAGAGATCTGAGGCCATCGAATTATAGAGAGATTTAATGAGTCACCGGTTAATCAATCAGGTGAGTTCTTGGTGGGATTTTTCAAAACGATATTCTGTAGCTATTTTTCTTTCGATCTATATGCAAGATCGATATTCCAAGCTTGTTCCAGTCGAATGTTATAAGACTTTTCCTTAGACTCTCAACTTTAGCCAACTAACCTGTGATCATCCGGACAAGCGGCTACATGGTAAATTACAATTGTCTAGCTACTTTTCCAAGTGACCGCAGATCAATTGGTTAAAACTGGAGGTCTAAATTTCATAACTCTCGTGCGGAATAAATAAGTTAGGAATGTCGGTCTTGCATATGGATCAAAAGGCAAATAACTGCAGACTATCGTTGTCGAAAATTTCCACTAAGAACCTACCTGATCAGTTAACTACCTAAAGACTCCAATTTTGATATATATCGATGACTGCAGTTTTTCTCTCTTGAATGGTAAAAAAAACAGGTCTCTATTATATTCCTATCAAAGATTATTCAAAAACCAATGCAACACATTATATTTTGATATGAATAGTAGAAAAATTAATATTTATTTACCATGAAAAATAACGCATGTTGGTTTATATGTTTTCATAAGATGATAAAATGCAATATTATACAATCGACCTTTATTAAATGCACCTAATGTTTGTTGTTCAATAATAAATATTTTATAATGGAAAATTTTTTGTCGTTGTAAAAATGGTAATAAATTATATAGTAAAGTTTTTAGATTTTTTTCACGATCACGATATGAAATGATAATTGCAATTGTTTCATTTTCATACATTGAACATGTATCAACTGTTTTCCATAATTTGACATATTTTGATGTTAAGGATGAACGTATTTGAAAATCATTTGGCGATTCAAGATTAATATTTAAACTTCCATTTAATTCTATTCCACAAACTGTTGATATTCGATTAATTAAAGCAGTTCGATTCAGTATACCATTATTACCCGTGCATACTACTTTATAATCATATAAACGATTAATAGATACAGGTACGAGAATTTTTTGTTTATTTAATAAATCCAAAGGTTTTTTATATGAAATAGGATCATCAAATGGTCGAGTAGTTTGTTGGTTTGGTGTACGAATATCATAAATTATAAATAGCAATATGAGTATGGAAAAAATAAATATAGCCATAAAACGATATTTTTTACTAATGGTAAGTATGCGTGAGCAATAATATGTTAGATAACGTTGTTTAGTCATTAATTATATACTTAAGAATTGATCTTATTCAATGTATTTTGTTCTCTAACATATAATTAGCATGAGTCTATTTGTCTTTCTGAAATGAA